ATTGTTAACTTGCTACTGCTGCTTCCTTAACTCATGGCATAATTTTTATTGAACCCAATAACAAGTTTACAATGTACTAAAAATATTTACCAAGTGAATTATTTGGAGAATCAGGATGGTGGTGTTCTAATTAATAACTGATGGGTTAACACAAAATTTTTGCTTCAACTCTGACTACTGGCAAACTACTGTGCTAGATGTGTTTCCTATTCCTGCTTTAGGAAATAAACTAAGCTAAAATTAGTTTTCTTGGATGATTAAGAATTTCAAATTGCCTCAGGATAATGCAAAACAGGAGCTCTCACTACAGGATAGATGTGGGGCCATAAAGAAAGAATGAGCCCAATTTAATGAGCATCAATCTTAGATAATACTGTGGATATTTTTATCAAGATCCTGAAACCACATTTTTGTCTCTTTTTTCGTCAAAGTTGAGAGAATAAAAAAAAGTTATCTAAATCCAATTAGTCAGGCCCAACCAAAAGAGTCACTATGTTATAATAGAATGATTCACTAACTGAACAACTAAGTTAGATCTTTAACCTGTGCCAGTTATAACAAGCCTCAGTGCTAGAGATTCAGAGATAAGAAGAGAGACTCTTCTGTAGAGGTACTTTGTCTAAAGGACTCTGCTGTATATTTCAATGTCTGTATAGCTAACTAGATGGGGTTTCTGCTAGGTCATTCCCCAACTGCTAATCTAAATGGAAACCAGACTTTCATCTTCTTTGTAACTTTCCACAGCCCCGACATATGCTCGAAAGGCCATCAAGTACAATAATTGATAAATGGTAACTAACCAACACTTTCTTTCACCCAATTGACTTGTACTTGAATAGAATATGAAATGCAGTTGGCTAATGGCCCAGTCTATACTATTTTGTTTTATAAATGGTTTGGTTAAAGAGCAGCATGCATCTATGCAGTGTAATAAGCCAGCTGCATCACCCTGAATTTCATAAAAAAGATTGAGAATTTACAGAAGATCCACTATTATTAGCTATCTACCTCCTTTCATTTAGGTAGACAGAGGAAATAAGAAACATCAGAGAGTTTACTCTTTTTTTTCTTTTAAGCAAAAAAGAAAATTTCTCCAGCTTCCATGGTAACCTATTCTAATATGAAACCATCCTCATCAACACACACACACACACACACACACACACACACACACACACACACTTAAATAAATAAGGAAGGAAGGAATTTCCAGCTTTCAGGTCTTTTCTTCTATTACTAATAACTATTTTTGTTTCCCATACAACACAACCTTTAAAAAATTATTTAACATTGATTAGTTTTAAATTTTTATTCTTTTTTTTGTTGAAATCATAAAAAATTAAATTTTACTTTTTGATGAGAAAAGAGGGCACTACATGATATACCATGCAATTATTCAATTTTAGAACTTGAAATCAAGACAATATGTGGGTATTACTTGGAAAGAATAAAAAGATAGTCAATAATAACTCAAAAAATTTACAGGTCACTGAATGATACTTCTATTAATTATCTAAAATGGATGTGTGCCAAGGAATATATTCTTAATTTGATTATCTCACAAAAGTTATTAGAAAAAAGTGAGGCACATTTTAAAACATGGAAAAATAACCCATATCAGGAGAATAGAAAAATCCATTAAAAAATGGAAATATATTGGAGCTGAGATTGTGGCTCAATGGTAAAGCACTTGCCTAGCATGTGTGTGGCACTGGGTTCAATCCTCAGCACCACATAAAAATAAATAAAGGTATTGTGTCCATCTACAACTAAAAAAAAATTTTAAGGAAATATATGCTAATAATTTAAAGTCATTCATAGAGACATCAAAGCCAATAATAAATGAATATGTAAGTACATTAAAGGATGAAGTAAGCTAAACAGATGAAACCATTTCATGGTTATGGCCTAATGGATTAACTTAAGCATAGAGAGGGAATATGATGCCATGGATGAGTGAGGTAACAGAGACTGTTCCACAGTGTTTGTTAAGGAAAGGGATCTACAAAGAAAATTTTGGAGCAAACTTAGATGGGAAATTGAAGTCAAAGGAATGTAGGCCTAGCTAGAGAGAATATGCTGCCCTTTCCTCTTACATGTCTCCATCTTTTTCTGTCTTATTTCCTGCATACCTGTTTTCTATTTCTGCCTTTCTATCCCCTGACATTTTCCCTTCTCTTTTTCAACATGTGTTTTGATAAAGTAAAATCCTATTTACTATAAATTTTAAAGATAGGTAAGCTGAGTTTTTTAATCATCTACTTTTCTTTCATTGACAGTAATCTCTCACTATCCATCACTACCCCCCAGCCCTATTTTAAAACTTCAGAGGCCTTCCAATAAGTCCATCTTCTAGAGAAAAACCAATTTCAGTATGAGTATGATTACCATCTACTGTTAACTGACCATACAGGCACAGTGGATAAGAACAGAGACTTCAAGTTTGGACAGACCACAGTTTTAGTTCCCCAACACTTATTATTTGTGAGGCCTTAGGCAAGCTGCTTGACTTCATCAAGCCTCAGTTTCCCTAGCTGCAAAATGGGCATAATGATCATATCCACCTCATAGGGTTATTATAATATTATACAAGATTAGGTCTGCCAGGCACAGTGGCACACACTGTAGACCCAGCGACTTCAGAGGGGGATCAAGAGTTCAAAGCCAGCCTCAGCAACTTAGCAAAGCATGAAGCAATTCAGTGAGACCCTGTCTCTAAATAAATTTTACAAGATAGGGCTGGGGGTGTGGCTTAGTGGTTGAGTGCCCCTGAGTTCAATTCCCAGTACCCCCCAAAAAAAGAAAGAAATATCATATAGCCAATAAAGATGATATTTAAAAAAAAAAGGATTAGGTCTGAAGTTCTAAAAATGCTACTTGTCATTTAATGCTTAAAAACTTCTCATTGTTTTCATTTTGCAATAACCTACATTTAACTAAAGCTTTTCAAATACTATAGTTCTCTTCTTAACCCCTTTATTATTCAAGTCTTTCTTTAACCACAGAGCCTGTCTGAGATTGTAATTTGTGTTTCAAATTACTAAACCACAAAGATCCTACCTACATGCTATACCTTTATTTTAACCACCCACTCTTTTTCCTTACTATACCATTGCCAAGTTGATTTACAGTTTTTAGGATGTCTTTCTCTGGGGAGCCATAGGACATCATGTGCTTCTAAACTCTTCAATATACATTTGAGATGAAAGGTAGATTATCCCTGTCTCCATCTTACAAGGTTAATAAACAGCACCTAAGAGAAGCTTAATGGGCTAGAACACAGTAAAAACAGTGAGATGGACTGAAATAAAGCCATACATGAGATTATATTTATATTCTGGATCAGTTAGGACACATTTTTTAAAAAATATTTTTGAGTTAATTTAGATATCTCTAATAGCTATGTGTTCTGATTTTCTGGGGACTAAGCTTTCTTAAAGAGGTATTCAGAACTATTGCTGAGCCTGATCTCTTGAATACTCAGAGACCAAGCGAAGAAGAGGTGGACGTTCTGTTTTCTTTGTATCTCTGCCTACACATATTACTATAAAATGGGCTGGATGGCAAAGAAGTGTCTAATAAGTTGACAACTCAGAGGACCAGGAGACTTCCCACATATGTCCTTTAATCACTATTCAACTGGACTGCATGAGATATAATTCAAAAGGGAAAATTCTAAACAAAGCTACAACAAAGTCTTTAAAGGGATATACCTATCTTATAGAGGCAGATTCAAAATTAAGTCTCTTAGACTAATTTTTTAATCAAGACTTCTCTTAACCTAAATTACATCCATCTATTTCAGCCTCTTCCCAACTTAACCTTTGTGCCTCATTCATAAGAGAAAGAAAAAGTTTTTTCCTCTTCAGACCATGGGCTCATGGTCTATGGCCCAAGTGAAGAAGAAAGTAGGGTTTTTTTTCCATAAAGAAAGAACCTAGTTCAAATTTCCATTTATTTATGTCTAGCCCTTTGAAGCCCCCATCTAACTCCAAAGAATGTAAAACTTACCCCCCACAACACTCCTCCATTCTTTATAACAATCAACTGTATCATTTACAACTAGTAATTAGCTGGTTATTTTTTAGCTAGCCCTGGAGTTTTAATTAAAAAAAAAAATCTACAAAATCACCTAACCAGGCTGAGGATATAGCTCAGTTAGTTGGCAGAGTGCTTATCTAGCATGCAAAAAGTCCTGGGTTCAATCCCCAGGATCACCAAAAACAAAACAAAAAACAGACAAAAAAAAAAAAAAAAAAAAAAAAATCACCTAACCTTCCTACCTCTCTCACAACTGAGATACTGTGATACTATAGCCAATGATGGGGAATAGAAATGAAAAGTGAGGCCAGATGTATGCTGTGCATTTTAATAGTTTTAAAATTCTTATTTTGCCAGTATTCTGATTTACTATAGGCTAAGTCTAATTTATTTTGATACTGGGTTAGCAGGATGAAATGGGAGCACAGTTGATAAGATAGCAAAGTTAAACTGCATTCCAATATTTCATCTTTATAATGGGTAAGAAAGAGCTCTGAGTCTATAATGGGTAAGAAAATACACTGAATTCCTGCTTTTCTTCTTTGAAACTAAATCAATTTATAGAGGCTAACAATCCCCCCCAAAAAAATACAAATTCATTTTTTAATTTTTAGCAAAAGAGAGGTAATAAAATATTGAAAAAATGATGAAAATTGTGGGTTTTAAATCTCTTCCCCACACCAGTCCTTCACCTCTCTTTGACTTGTGATTTTTGGAACTTGGGCAAGTAATTTCATATTATGGGTTTAATTTGCTATGTCTGTCAACTAAAGATCATATTATCCTCTAAGCCCAATGGTAGAGATGGAAGACTGAGCAAGGTTTGTCCCATTCAACTATATAATCTGGATATTTCCAGATCCAAAAAGGTAGGCAGGAATCTTTCTAAGAAAGGGGTTAGGGTAGGACCTAAGAACTACGGAGACAGTACAGCAAAGGAGGCAGAAGCCAGTTCTCACCGAGAGGATCTTATCACCCTCCTGGAGCCGCCCATCCAGGGCGGCAGCCCCATTCTCTTTGATGCGGCTGACGTAGATGCCACTGTCATTGGAGACATGCTGTTGATCTGTCCCACCGACGATGTTGAAGCCCAGCCCTGAGAAAATCATGGAGGAATGAAGGAGATGGGGGTGAAGAAGAAAGAAAAGGGATTAGAGAAGTAAAGAGAGAGAAAAGGCCTAGGGGAGGAGAGGCTGGTAAGTCAGACTGTGAGGCAGCTACAATAGTCATAAGCAAGGTCAGTTAAGTTCAAGAGTTAAGGTCAAGAATACCAAGTTGCCCACTCAGGTCAGGTAGGACTGAAAATACAAACACAGAGATCAAGATGACCTGTTGAATACATACAGAAAGATCTACATACAATTAAAGAATATAGTCATTCCTGTAAGATGTTAAGTGGTTCTGCTCACATTTGATTTTGATCCTGTTGATGGCATTCCTGGCATTTCTATTATTAATGTAACAGGATTAGCTGCGTTCATAAGAACCTAAGCTTTTAACCAATTATGAAATGAACTGTTCTTAATTGAGAAAGAGATTTCCAACCATAACTTCCCCTCCATACTTCTCTCAAGATTCTGGAGAATTTGTATATGGCAGTTTTGGAAGAAGTGATCTTGGGAATTTCATTTATTATTTTCCATTTTGTGTTATGGGAGGAGGACAATGTATAGGTGTTGGTAGGAAACCTCAAAACCAGAAAGGTAACTGATGCTTCATGGTAGACATAGAACCAAAATCCCCCCCCCTTTTTTTTGTTTTTAATCTCAAGTACAAATAACCACATACTTGGGTATAGTCATGACCAAATTTTATTCACTTTAGATAAAACTGATTCCCTACTGACTACCAACTGCCCATCTGCCAAACCTCTAGTTCCTGGAAAACACGATTCTATTCTTCATTTCTATGAGTTTAACTATTTTGGATGGGTATAAAATTTTAGTTATGCAAAATGAATGAGTTCTAGAGATCTGCTATAGAACACTGTGCTTACAGATTGATACAAGTTTAACTTTGAAAGCTGCTCTCTCTCACACACACACACAAAATGCAATGTAAGGAAGTACTAGGGATGTGTTCAAATTCCACACTAGCTGTGAGAGACCTCAGCCCCTCCAAATCCCACTTAATAATACAATATTAAGTACCCTGTTGGTAGGATGAAAGATACACCCTTAATTTGTATCACAGAAGATGGGGGTGTTGGGAAGGTTCTGATAACTTGAGATGAAGTGAAAAGGTAGACAGATCCAGACACTTCAAAATATGTCAACAGGGTAGATTTAACTGTTCTTATTATAATAAAATACAGAAAGCAAGCAAGCTAACAAGCCAGCTGAGCTAACAAAGCTAGTAAGCTAACAAAGTGCCGTTTCCATGGACCAACCACTAAGCTGTAGAAAGAATTTCACTCTATAGAAACCATTGTCATAAAGGGATTTTACCTATGCATTTAAGAAAAGAAGACATAATTCAAAATAGCCCAACTATTCAATCAGCCTAGGTGTCCATCAACAGATGATTGGATAAAGAAAATGTGATATATAACAAAGGAGTTTTATTCAACCATAAAGAAAAAAGAAATTATGGCATTTGTAGGAAAATGAATCAAACTAGAAACCATCATGTTAAGTAAAATAAGTTAAACTCAGAAATTTACGAGTTGTATGTTTTCTCTCATATGTGGAAACTGGAGGGGAAAAAGGAAATCAAAGGTCAGAATGGACCCCCTAAAAATCAAAAGATCAGTAGAGGAAAGCAACCAAGGAGCAGAAGGCAGGAAGGGAAGGGGGGAATGCAGGGGAATGATATTGGCAAAATTATGTTGTTATATTGTGTGCATGTACAAATATGCAACAACAAATCCCATCAATATGTACAACTATAATACAACAATAAAAAATGTGGAGATGCCAGGCACCACCATGCGCACCTGTATCCCGGTAGCTTGGGAGGTTAAGGCAGAAGGATCATGAGTTCAAAGCAAGCCTCAGCAACTTAGTGAGGCCCTATCTCTGAATTTAAAAAAAGCGGGGGTGGGGGGGTGGGGGATGTGGCTCAGTGGTTAAGCACCGCTGGGTTCAATCCTCAGTACCAAAAAAAAAAAAAAAAAAGTGGAAGGAAAAAAGTAAATAGGAAAAAGAAACTCCGAAACTCCTTTAGGGGCTTCTTTATGTTAATTACTGGTTGGTACAATTCAGGGCCACAGTACAAAGAGAAGGGAGATAATTTGGAAACAATTAAAAAACAAAATGCATTGGTGCAACTGGAAGGAATAGGCATAGACAGCTTTATACTACTAGCCTCTCTTTAAGTATCTGTTCAAGAAAACAGATTAATGGATAAAGAAAATGTGAAAACACATACTTAAAAAGAGAAAATATGTGGGCTTTCTAAAAAGTTTTCCCTGTTGGTAGGATGAAAGATACACCCTTAATTTGTATCATAGAAGACGGGGGTGTTAGGGAGGTTCTGATAAAACTTGAGATGAAGTGAAAAGGTAGACAGATCCAGATTATGGAAGGCTCTGAAATGACTTCAAAACAATGGCAGGTTTGGGTAAGGGGGATGAGGCCAATCAGCCTGTCCCAATCCTGGGACAAACTATTTATAGAAAATCTTTCAATGAAATCCAACATCCTCAGTATGGTTGGAGTGTCACCAAAATGCTGTTGTCTCTGGGGATCTTGGGAAAAGAAAGCAAGTATTAAAGTAGCCAAATGCATTACAACAGTTAGCAAGAGAAGGAACTCTGCCACAGGTTATTTAAAGCAATAGAACAGTATCCAAAAGAAGATAAGTAGAAGAAATCTTACTGAGACTTATTATAAACAAGCACATTCTACTACCCACCCCTTAATATCACATTATATAGGTACATTTACAACTCATTGCTAACTTCTGTCATAAATGAACCAAACCACTTAAAATGAGAACTCCTGGACTGATGTAAAGCCCTCTTCATCCACTTTTACAGAACTGAGCTCATCTATAACTCAAAGCCTTGCTACTATAAATGGAAGTCTCCACAACATTGAGTAACAGTGTTTCAACTCAACCATATACTTCAATTGGACAGCATTTGCCTAGCATACAAATGCACAGGAGTCCCTGGGTTCAATTCCCAGTATTAAAATTAAAATAAAAATTTAAACTTGGACCCTGTGTATCCCTAGATAATCCCCAGTTTATTTGTTCACATTTGTTATTTACCACATGTCAGGTACTGTGTTAGGTTCTGAATAAGGCAAAGCTAAACTGGACAATCCCTGTTTTAATCACAAACAGAAGTTTATCTTTTTGCCTGTCCCTTTTAAATACTGTAGAAGCAAATAAAAGAAACGATTCCAAGTTCAACTCCATAACTTACCAGAAATGTGAGTCAGTTTATCTCTGATCCTCAGCTTCCTTTTCTGTAAAACAAGGATTAAAAATTCTGCCCTCTCTACCTCAAAGAGTAATACTAGGACCCAATAACATAAAATATGAAAAAAATTCTTTATAAAATACACAGTAGTTGTTATATTGGAGTAAGGTTCTAGGAGTAGTTATCAATAAACTAGTAATGGCTACTTACCAAAACTATATAGTTTTGCTGCAAAAGGAGGAATAAATACACAGTACAAATGTGAGAACTCCTGAAAAACGGTTAGACAGATTTAAAAGTCCACCCACCTATAAACAGGAAAAGACTACATTAGAACTTAAACTATTGAAATTAAGTATGTCTATAACCTGTGACCTAGAAATCCCCTTTAGGAGTATTTTCTGGCAAGGGTGAGATTTTAAATTTGCAACAATCATCCAGCACATTTTATCAACAAACTGGAACAGATGCCAATCTGAAACAACTGGAAGGAGAAAGCCTATCCAGTACATATCTTCTAATTATTAGCTATACTCTAGAAAAATCTTTCATGAATAGGGTGTTCACATACTCTGGTTTGTCTGGAAGTCGTGGTATACACCTTCTGCCCCAGTGTTATTAAGTGTTCCTTTTCAATTTCAAAATCATCCCAGTTTGGACACATATTATCATCCCATCTACAAATATTAATGTAAAACTATGTTTACTGCAGGACATTTTGTGGTAGTGTGGAACTGACAGTAATCTAAATGTTCATCTTTTGGAAAACAGATTAAAATACAGTTAAAAGTTAGAAGCACTAATAATCATATTAAAATAAAATGGATAGGGGGCTGGAGTTGTGGCTCAGTGGTAGAGCGCTTGCCTGGCATGCGTGAGACCCTGGGTTAGATCCTCAGCACCACATATAAATAAAACAAACAAATAAAAGATCCATTGACAGCTAAAAAATAATTAAAAAAAAAACATAGGTAGAGTTTTAAAATGTCATGTTGATATTCACAGCATACTATCTTCCCATAAGTAAATACAAAACTATTACCTGTTTACAAAGTGCATGTAAAGACATATCAGAGTAGATACTCAAAGGGAAGAACATACAGGGTGGAGGTTAGGTTTGAAGGGTAAAAATAAGACCAGAGAGGGACATACTGATGACAATAGTATGTTATGGAGCTGAAGGATATAATTAATCTACTCTCAACATCTAAGGTCCAAAAAGGATGAAGGCCAATGGGAGAAAGAAAAGACTGGGATTCAGCAAATGTTTTAAAAAACCGAGTGAATGAAAAATATTGCTTAGTGAACTCTAGTTATAATATGCTAATAAATTTTAAAATATAACAAAATTAAAATGGGTTGCTCAATCTCTAATTTTGATGAGCAGTCCAAACACACTCCCAAAAAAGAAAAGGTTGCAGGTAGTACAGAATGATACCATTAGAGGATTGAGAGGAAAAGAAAGTGTGTTTAGTAGAAGAACCTTGGAAAGCTAAATGAGAAACACATTCTTCTAGACTCCTCCTGACTACAGGTCTGGACCCTGAGCCCATTTATAAGTAAAGGCAACAGCAACAGCAACAGCAACAATTAATATTTGCTGAGTATTTAATATCTATGAAGTAATATAGTATAAATTATACTTCCATACAGATGAATTTTAAAAATGAGTTATGAAGGCTGGTGCAGCTGGCACACACCTGTAATCCCAGTGGCTCAGGAGGCTG